TGTGCATGAAATATTTAAAAGTTAAAAATTTTCCGCGCTTGTAAAACTGCGACAACAAACTATCGCTTGCTTGTATTTCATGTGTAGATTTTGCATGCACATGTCAAAAACAAGGCCAAAAAAATGTTTAAAAATTTAAAAAGCCCATTCTCATTTGGTGATTTTCAGAAAACTAGGTACTTAAGTTATACAAAAACATCAAAATAAAAATAGGTTTCATATATTGTGCATGAAATATTTAAAAGTTAAAAATTTTCCGCGCTTGTAAAACTGCGACAACAAACTATCGCTTGCTTGTATTTCATGTGTAGATTTGGCATGCACATGTCAAAAACAAGGCCAAAATAATGTTTAAAAATTAAAAAAGCCCATTCTCATTTGGTGATTTTCAGAAAACTAGGTACTTAAATTATACAAAAACATAAAAATAAAACTAGGTTTCATATATTGTGCATGAAATATTTAAAAGTTAAAAATTTTCCGCGCTTGTAAAACTGCGACAACAAACTATCAGTTGCTTGTATATCATGTGTAGATTTGGCCGAGGGGCATTTCACTCCAAAAAAGCGTACGGGATTTTCGGATTTTTAAAAATCCGCGGATTTTTTAGCGGATTTTTCCCGGATTTTTTAGTGGATTTTTGAAGAGAAAATTTGCTGGATTTTCCGGATTTGTTCGGATTTTTTCTGGATTTTTGAAAATCTGTTGGATTTTCCGGATTTGTTTGGATTTTCCGGATTTGTTCGGATTTTTTCTGGATTTTTTTTAATTATAGAGTTATAGAGCTAGGTAACGTTTTGAACATTTAATCTTAAGTTGTACGACGTCAACGTTATGCCAGGACGTCAGGGTCGAGCAGAGGACTGGGGCTAGGACCACAGCCTTCAGAAACTAACGAATGCTGGGCATGCAGTCATTTTGTTTAAAATTCAAACAAGTTCATTATTCTTTCAAAAACAGTAAAAGACAATGGTGAATAACTTTTGGTTTTGTAATTATATTTTACAACATAACGTCATTGTAACAAGAACACATATTTAGTAGTAGTAGGCTAAAAAAACTTAGCATATACTCGAGCGTATAAATGGAAATGTAGAGTGGTCCAATAATTACGAAATATAATGACAGCGATCACGGTAAGCGTTTAGCTTTCGCGGTCCGCCATTTTGAACGTGGCAAAGAACCTTTACGAGTAAATTACACCAAGTACTTCATATATTTTTTGTGGATTTGCGGATTTTTTGAGGATTTTGAAGGATTTCTGTGGATTTTTGAAGGATTTCTGTGGTTTTTAAAGGATTTTTCGGATTTTGATGGATTCAACGGATTTTGAGGATTTCATGGATTTTTTCTGGATTTTTTCCGGATTTTTTGACGAAGTGTACGGGATTTTTGGAGTGAATTGCCCCTCGGATTTGGCATTCACATGTCAAAAATAAGGCCGAAAAAATGTTTAAAAATTTAAAAAGCCCATTTTCATTTGGTGATTTTCAGAAAATTACGTACTTAAATTATACAAAAACATCAAAATAAAAATAGGTTTCATATATTGTGCATGAAATATTTAAAAGTTAAAAATTTTCCGCGCTTGTAAAACTGCGACAACAAACTATCGCTTGAAAAAAAAAACTTGCTGTTTTTATCAATTCATCTGGTGGAACTTGACAAAAATACGTGTGATTGAACATACCTGATTTCCAAACACACATTCCAGTTGCAGGTTTTACAACAACAGCCGTTTAAAAAACTTTGTCTTCGTCTTTTTTTTCATCTTATGAACGAACGAAGTTGTTTTGCAAAAACAATCGATCCTCGTGAGTGAGATCCCAGACTTATATCTTACACTACAACATTCCCCATATAATCAGCCGTGATTAAGAATCCGGAAAAAAGATTTTGTCTATAGTAATAGCACAGATCCCAAACCATTGTGAATTCAGCTTGAATTGTACCTTTTTACGTAGTAATTTTAAAAGGAAGTCAAAACAAACATGCATGCCTGATCAAACCACATCGAATTCGAATAAAAATGAAAATATGCGGGGGGACCTGCATCACACATAGATCAGGGGCGCCATAGCCGTTTCACCGCCCGTGTTTTACAGCGCCCTGCGTGATCTATGTGTGATGCGCCAGAGAACTGGCACTAGCGCGCGTTTTGAGAGAAAAGCAAAAAGAAAAGCAAAATCATGGCGGAAAAAATATTGTTGTGCGACTTTGAAAGCCAGGGCGAAAATAGACGTAAGACCTTTTTAATGTGAGATTTCTTTGATTAATTTTTAAAAGGAACATTATATTATGCCATTAATAAACTTTTTATGTAAGAAGCATCCGACGTATTTGAGAAAATAAGTTAGTTTTTCAATTATTTAAATGTGAGGGGCACCAAATTTTATTACTTTACGCACGACAGCAGAGATTAAAATCAATGCTGTCTGAACACTTGGTAGGCCTAGATAAATTTGATAGCTTAAAAATGTGTGGAGTTTCTCTGGCTTTAGTACACATTATATACCAAGACCGGCTTTTACCGGCTTTTTTTGCTATGCTTAAATTTTGGCAGTAACATAATTTTCTCGACAGCGCGTGAGAGCTAAAACATAAAAAGCTTACAAATCGCGGTCAAACTAAAAGTCAATGTCAACATTGCAACACAATTTTTCAGTAAATTAAATTCTTAAAAAACTTTAGGTGAACATAATTGTTTTCAGAATTTTTAACCCTGTCAGCATAATTTAACACTTTTCTATAAACCCAATAAGAAGTGTCTTTTCAAAGCGAGCAAAAACTTTTCTTTATATACATTGCATTAAAGTTCTCAGTTTACTTTTTTCATGCATAGACAAAAATGTCTTGTTAATATTTCAACATGCATAATGTCTAGTTCATGTATAAACTATAGCTGTTTACCACAAAATTTACAGTTAGAATGATATATAGTACCACATAATTTATAATTTTTACCAACAGAAAGTCGGCTTTTTTGTTAAAACATGATTTTTCGGTTTGGTATTGACATGGTCGTACATGAAACAACTGTTAGCCATTAATTTAGTATGCAGGAAGCGCGGAAAAAATGTTTCGACTTGTATCCCTTTTCCTAGGTGAAAAACGTTGCCTGAAATTTTGCACAGTTATTAATAAAGTTATGGAAAATCGATTTTTATTAAAACGAAGACCGGCTTTTTTGTGAAAACACAATTTTTCGGCTTGGTTTTGCCATGGTCTCGCTCGAAAGGACAAGGTTCATGTTTGGCCATGAAACTCAAACAGCGGAAAAAATATTTTTATTTATATCTTTTTTCCTAGGTGAAAAACTTGGCCTAAAAATTTGCACAGTTGTTGATAAAGTTATTGAAAATCAATTTTATTAAAAAGAAAACCGGCTTTTTTGTTAAAACATGATTTTTACCTGCATGGTTTTGACCTGGTCACTCAAATGAAACGACAAAGGCACTGTCAGCCATTTTTACTCATGAAACACGAAGCGCGGAAAAAAATGTTTCGACTTGTATCTTTTTTCCTAGGTGAAAAACTTTACCTGAAATTTTGCACAGTTATTAATAAAGTTATTGAAAATCGATTTTTATTATAAAGAAGACCGGCTTTTTTGTTAAAGCATGATTTTTTCACCTAGTTTTGACCTGGTCTCACATGAAACAACGAAGGTACTGTCAGCCATTTTTACTCATGAAACATGAAGCGCGGAAAAAAATGTTTCGACTTGTATCTTTTTTCCAAGGTGAAAAACTTTACCTGAAATTTTGCACAGTTATTAATAAAGTTATGGAAAATCGATTTTTATTATAAAGAAGACCGGCTTTTTTGTTAAAACACAGCTTTTTGGCTTGATTGGCCATGGTCTCACTCAAAAGGACAAGATCAATGTTGACATGTTTGGTCATGAAACTCAAACCGCGGAAAAAATATTTTTATTTGTATCTTTTTTCCTAGGTGAAAAACTTTGCCTAAAAATTTGCACAGTTATTGTCAAAGTTATTTAAAATTGATTTTTCTTAAAAAGAAGACCGGCTTTTTTGTTAAAACACAGCTTTTTGGCTTGATTGGCCATGGTCTCACTCAAAAGAACAAGGTCAATGTTGACATGTTTGACCATGAAACTCAAACCGCGGAAAAAAAGTTTATTTATATCAGTTTTTTTCCAGGTGAAAAACTTTGCCCAAAAATTTGCACAGTTGTTGTCAAAGTAATTTAAAAGTGATTTTTCTTAAAAAGAAGACTGGCTATTTTGTTAAAACATGATTTTTTTACCGGCACTGTCAGCGATTTTTATTCATAAAACACTCAGCGAATTTTACTCATGAAACACGAAAAAAATATTTCGACTTGTATTTTTTTCAGTTCTCTATGACGTTAAAAGATAGTCCCAAGCTATAGTCTCGTAGGAAAAACCGTATCTTTAGAAAAAATATCCGTTTCAACCACTTTTTGTCTTTAAAAGTGCACTGACCTTTTCAGGCTGTTCTAGACAAACCACATTTTCTTTACAATCTTCTCTCTTGACTGTAGCATAAACTTTAAGTAAATAAACCTCTCATTCCATATAGTTCATCCCAGAGGTAAATCGTTTTGGTGTTCATTTGCAAATGAGTTACAACTAGGCCATGTTTCTCGAGATGTTTTTTATTTTAACTCTTGCCGTGTCTTTTTTTTCAAAATATTCAAATGTTGATATTCGAATGAGAATTTCCAATATTCGAAAACCTACGGGGGGCTCCGCGCATCACACATAGATCAGGGGCATCGTTGCCGTTTCCACGCCCGTGTTTTATAGCGCCCTGATCACTGAGCTGTATAATAACTGGAGGACCTGCTCCTATACTTCGTTCAGTCAACGAAGTGAAGCCAAAAACATGGCGGATTTTGAGTGAAAATGACGCCATTTCCATGACAACACTTCCGAAATCCTCATGGTAGTTACCACTGACCAGGCTCAATTCTGAGCCCACGGCCGTATTCACACCCCCCCTGGTTTTTGCAAAAAATTTTGCAGATAATATAGTTCTTGTTGTTTTGAATCGGTTTTTAAAATTTTTTCGATATAAATTTTCTACCTTTGACCATTTGGACAAAGATATGCAAGTCGTACGTGTTATTCTCGCCCATGAAAGACGACAAGCAAATTTTAAAACCTCAAGAAATGTGGGAAAAAGACGAGACTTGAATATGGATTTTAATATACAAATAACAAAGGTAAGAGGCGTATTTTCATATTCAATTTTATTTACACTTTATCTTATTTGACATGAAATAATAAGTATAACGATGAAAATGACACTCTATTTGTTAAGGAAACAGCTTCCTACAGTGCAATACACATGGGAAAGTGTAAAATTTTCCACTACTTTAGCAAACTGTGATTATTCACAATCGCAAATATTTGGTTACAACCTACGATGCTTATTAATCTTATTAAAATTATATTCAGTCACATATACGAGTATTAATACGACGGTCTTTAAAGTGCGAACTGTCTTGTGTAATAATGTTAAAAACTCCGAGGTCTCGTTTTATAAATAGACATAAACTATGATCATGTACCACAGACTATCTTTTTGAAAGAGGGATTTAGGTCAGTTTTGTGTTATGTACCAACTTATGTACAGTATAAGCTGGAGGTGCTAGCTTTCTGGTTGGGATACTTCTTGATATTTGTGTCATTATAGAGGCTTGAGATAAATCACACTTTTCCCTAAGCTGAGGTTTAGCTAAGCTGAGGTGTGCCAATTTTTTTTAATTTTGCCCAAATTACATACTAGTTACATACCACTGTGAATAAGTTGATCTCCCTTGGAATTTCCAGTTTGGGCCGTTCCGGTATCATTATTTTATCCCCTTCCCCGGAATTTCCATGTAAATCTTATTATTTTGACCCCCACCCACTGGAATTCCAGGGTTATTTCGACTCCCACCCACTGGAATTCCAGGGTTATTTTGACCCCCAACCACTGGAATTCCAGGTTGTTTTGACCCCCACCCACTGGAATTTCAGGGTTACATATAAAAGGCATCCCCTGGATTTCCAAGGTCCTCAACAGGGGTTGTACGGATAAAAAACCCAATATGCCAATATCACTCTGAATAAACAATGTACCTACATTAGCGCACTCATAGTTCTGATTTAAGCTGAGGAGTTAGGCCACATTCGTTTATTTACCTTGGTCATATGCTAAGTTATGTTACCTGGATAATTGTACAATCTCATTAAAAATTAATCTATTCTTGTTTATTGCAGATTTAATCCATAATGACACACTCTCCTTTCTCGGTGGCAAAACACAGTATCAAGCCACATCTTTGGAAACTGAGCCAGAGACGGATTTTCATATTTTCGTTTGGGGGTGGATTAATCTGGGGGGGGGAGGTTGCTGCTGCTTGCTTTGGCTGGGGCCTGGTGGCAATGCCCAGAAAGGCCAAGGAAAAAGTTTAACAAAATTTGTTTTCTAGGCCTGGGGCCGGTTGTTCAAAGGTGGGTTAGCACTAACTCTGGGTTAAAATTTAATCTGTTGTTTTAGTTCATGTATTTGTGCAAGTCTGTTTATTTCAAAACTTACTTCAGAAAAGAGAACTCCTATTGATCCTGACAAGATTTCTGAAGAACTATTTCCAAATTTATAAACAAGCTATCAGGAAGTTTGCTTTGAATTTTAGGTTAACCCAGGGTTAAACTAACCCAGCATATTGAACAACTGGCCCCTGCATGGCAAGATCTGAGACCATAATATTGGTAATTTTACAAATTTAGTAGTAAGAATAATCAAATATGAAACTATCAAATCAAAATATATATAATTTGCGGGGTGCAAAAACTTTTAGGGGCGTTGCCAAATGCCTCTGGGGGGCACCACCCCCCCCCAGAAAATCTGTGCCTGAACTGAACATACAATTAAAGCTTGATTAATTTTGAACAACTATATTTTAATTAATACATGCTTCCAGAAAGTATATCATCTTGGTTATAGGCTGTAGTCTCATTTTCATGATTGAGACATGTCAAATACACAAAAACGAGGCTCCATAGTCAAAGTGGCATACTTTCTGGAAGGATGTACAGTATTTGACTTTTTTGTAGCCTCTATTAACTAGCAGTAAACAATTAAAAATGTATAATTTTAATTCTTCCTAATTTAGTGGAGCATGATTGTGCTCTGTTGTAAAAATTTACACTTCAATAAAGTTATTATAATCATATAATTATTTATTATGTTGTTATGGTATTATAATTATAACTTCATTTTGATGTTCTGCATGTTGATGCCTGTGCCATCTCTTGTGTTGCATTAAACAGATAATTTCTGCAAAATAAAAGATGACATTATTATCATGATACATTTATATACATCTTTATACACCATGAAAATGACACAGCAGCGTGTGAAGTCCCAAGTCCCAAGCAAAAAATTGTGAAATTGGAAAAAGTCATGTGATCGATATCGTCATGCACTAGTGAAGATATGGAAAATATTTCAATGTGTGTTTTTCAGTATCTCGCTCTCTACTATATAATAAATACACATATATTAACCCTTCAAGTGGCAATGTGTCTTACTGTATTAGTAGTATTACTGTATTATGTTACAGTCTAATGTCAGACAATTTTACTATAGTCAAGGGGAGAGCATGCTGCCACTATGGTGCAATATATGATCTGTTTTTACCAAAACCATAATGATCCCAAGCTTCAAACTGAAGTGTCATGTATCCATATTCAGGAATGGAATTCTATTATTAGCAAATTTCATCATAGTTTCTCACAGACCAATCAGACATCACCTCTTCCAATGTTAGAAATGTTGTACGTAGCATAAATTTCTGAATTAATTACCTGGTTAGTACATCGATAGTGACTCACTTATCCCAACAGCTTGTGGGCAACATTTTTTTTCTTGCCATGTAACTATCACATCATACTGTGTATGTGGTTCTGAACAGACAATGGCAAAGTGAGTATCTATTTTCTACCCCAAGACTCTTCCCTTTGAGTAAAATAAGAATGTAGGGTTCATTTGGGCACATTGCTACTTAATGGGCTGACTATATCTCAGGGGCTGCATGCTCATTGGCAGATAGTATATTTAACCCACTGAGTGGCAGCAGTGAGCAGTCTCCCCTTAAAATCGTCTGGCATTACACAGACAGTGTAAAACAAAAAAAGACAGTCTCCAGGGCTCATCAGGACAGGCATATATTGACACACGTAGGTGGGCCTCCTCTACTCAAATATTTCTGGTCTCGTGATTTTGTGCTTGTCTATATATATTAATCCTGCACTATATGATGGGCAAGTATAAAAATTTCACACAATATAAACATGTAAAAACAACCACAATATAAATTACAAGTATTAAAAACTGGCAGTCTGGCAATAAAACCACAAAGACCAGTGCTGACACAAAACAATATAATTTCATGCACACAGTATCTACTCATTAACAATATTTGTATGTCTACTATTGAAATATTTGCTGTATATATTAGGATGATGAGTTTTTGACATATGAGTGTATTATATCTTGAGTGATATGAACATGCAAGTCCCTAGAATTAAGTTAAAAAAAGTTTCGTGAATCTTACCTGAAAGAATTAGTCTTTCTTTGCAGTGAAGTGCTGCATCCACAAGCGAAGCAAACCCGCATCCTTCCTCCGCGTTGTAAAACAAGTAATGTGCGATGGAAATATTAAGATTTTTTAGCTCAAAAACAACAGAAAACTTGAAATATCTTTAATATTTCTGTGCAAAAACCAGGGGGGTTAAGGACATCGTTGGAAGCTTAGGATCGCGGTTGGTCAGTGGCAGTTACCATGAAAATTTCGGAAGTGTTGTCATGGCAATGGCGTAATAGCCGCCATGTTTTCGGCTTCACTTGATGATGCCGAGCAGGTCCTCCAGTAATATAGTATAGCTCAGTGGGAACCATATGTAGGCAATTTGTCTGAGCATGCGCGCAGAAAATCAATATGGCGACGTATATTAGGAGTGTTTCGTGGATTTGTCTGGTTTTAAAGCTGATAAAACAACATTTTAATGAACGAAAACTTTATAATATTTAGTGGAAAACATTAAGCTATGCATTTCAAAGGTTTTAAATTAAAAATAAGTACTTTTGCTTTATTTTATTGCTTTTTATGCTTTGAAAACGGGCAAGCTCATATTTTTTGAAAAAATCTTATCTAATATTTTAGCCATTATTTGTTTAATCTGAACAAAAATAGATAGAACATTTGGCTATATAAATTATAAAGGTATTGTTAGCTGATCTGAAAGATTTCAGTATTTCAGGTACACATTTTAACAAAGAATAAAATTAAAATATATGCATATAAAAAACAATGGTTTTTATTAGAACAACACAGAATAAGTTGTTATTTTCTATTTTTACAAAAAACAAGTTTGAAAACAGGATCTAGTCCTCCAGCTTGATGTCATATTCCATTTATTTGGATATTTGAATAAAGGAATGTGAAATAATAATGAAACTTGACCAAAATTTGATACCAACACTGGAGTGAATAGATACTATCACCTAAAAATAAAAGAAAACAGAACTTAAATTTATCATATAATGCTATGAAAAAATCTTAGATATTACAAGCATATAGTGAACACAACTCTTTAACAAATTCACTAAAATAAGTTAAGTTATGCTACGATAAGAGGATGGCAATATATGACAACATCAAATGTTACCATCTTCAGTGTCCAAAAAAAGTGCCGCGCGCATTTTTCGTGGTCGAATAACTGGCATTGCCACAAACCCAGGTGAAAAAGCAATTAGAAAAACCTGGTTTTGGGTGATGAGATAGTCAAATTCTTGACTTATTCAATTTTCTAAGTTTTTCCAGGTAAACAGATCCAACATTGAAATAAGCCCCATTCGGGACCTCATAGGGTCCAAAATATTGTGTATGGACCAGATTTATTTCAATTTTCTGTGATTTACATAACACTAGTTATAATTTAAGGCTCAACCAGTATTGTTCAAGACATATTTTCCTTCCAGAACACCTTTTCAAAATACTAACCCAAGCATGTCAAAAATAGTGTACATTTACAAGGGCAATTTCAACCCTATGGCACATTTTTCCCATGAATGATTTTAATTCTAGTATAAAGACTATAGATAAAAATTTGATTTGAAGCTAGTTTCAAGTGATGAGCATACCCTAAATTTTAAGCTATACCTCAAAGAAGATAGGTCATTTCAACATAAACATTGAAATATGGGTATACTGACAGCTCTGTCACACGTCGGTAGTTTGACATTAGCAGACCTTCCGAAACATTTTAATGAAAGTATAATTCACAAAGTTCACTTACTTCTTAACATCTGTTTTAATCCAACTAGCTCTGTAGGCACGAGCAAAATTTAGTGTTGATGTAAATATCCATTTTGTTCATGTTTCCCCGGTGAAAATATAGTCTATTCCAAAGCTGATTTCGACGTACTTTAGCTTTTCAGAAACCGTTGGCCTTCCTCAGTGACATTATCAACTGTTTCACAAACATACTTGATAGTAAACAGCTAAAATATTCTCTGAAAGTCTATATTTTTGCTCTTCGACGCGAAAATGGAAACTCAAGAAGAAATGAGCCACTATTTTTGGTCAGCGTCGACAAATTGCCTACCTGTTGGTTTATTCCGCTATATTGCCGGGGGTGCAAAACAATGGGGCGAGTGCGCGGTCAAGCCATGGCTGCCATATATTTTACTAATAAGTGAGCGATAATTTTGTGTGGACATGTTGTTGATTTTCTCATGCTATATTAAAAGATAGTCCAAATTTTTGTATTCTGGCTGATCTGTGCGTATTTTCAAACTACTGGTAAAGATTTCAATGGAATCTGATTGGAGGAAATCCGTGAATATGCTGATTTCTTCGACACCTTTCGGCGAGCTGTTTACAGTGGATTCACAACAACGAAACGCCGAAAACAGGGCTTTTACGTCTCTGTTTCAGTTTGTTTAAACAAAACAACATTACAAAAGGATAATGTTTAAAAACAAGACAACAGAGCTGTCGGGAAAGAAGAAAGACGTCCAGGTGCGAGAGTGTAACGTGATACCAATGTCAATCTCACCTTAATATATGACATAGATATAAGAGATAAACTTATAAAAGTAAGTGAATCCAAAGGCTATATATTGAGAGATATCGAGAGTTTCAGTTGTTTATATTTTATGTTCTCATAGGAGATTATATTGCAAATAGTCATTTTACTTTGGCGGCTTATGGCTACAAAGGACTGGAAAAGCTCAAATACGAGGATTTCGTCGAGTTGACAGAGTGGGAAAAAGGTTGAACTTGTGGCAAGAGCATTTAAAGCGTATGAATTGGTACCCTGCGAGCAAAGTCCTCTCGTATTTCTTCTCGGCACGGCACGGAGAAGCGAGAGCGACTCTGCAGAACTTGTGTATATTCTTTGTGGAGCCGACAATCCAAAAACTTGGATATTTATGCGTAATTTCAGGTTTGATACTGGTTTTATAACCGGTTTTGATGACGGAAACAACCGACCTGGAAACTACTTATTAAATCTTCTTCTTGGAAATAAGCAACCTTCGCGCATGCTCAAATGAATTTATACACAAGTTCTGCAGAGTCTCTCTCGCTTCTCCGTGCCGTGCCGAGAAGAAATACGAGAGGACTTTGTTCGGGGTAATGAATTGGGTGCTCCAAAGAAATTTACACAGGAACAAATTTTTGATAGTATTAATTAAGAAGGAATACCAACAAAGGCTACAAACTAATAATATTATTAAGAGCGATCCTAACACTCTGTGCGATGAATATTATTGGAAAGATGACATTCAAACATGGCCACATCTTGATGATGGAATGCCACATTCTACGAGTAAATGCAGTGGATGTTGAATATATTGGCAAATACAAAGATGAGAGGGCCTACTCATATTGGATGAGTGGATTTGTTGATATAATTTATGTTGCCAAATGCCCCATTGACAAGACCATGACATTTTTTGTAAAGCTCAGTATGTCCACCACAAAGGATTTGTGATGACTCACATATAAAAGTGTGGATGTGTGTCCTTGAACAGCTAGAACAGTTGAGGCATGTAATCATGTACTTGTAGTCCTCTATATATAAGATCAACTATGCTTACAACAAGCAATATATTTCCCCTGTCTGTGTGCCTGTACCAGTGTTCCCCAAGGATGGAACAAAGGAACATGAAAAGAAGTAAATCCAAGCAAGGTTAAAAATTTAATATTTAGACCAAACACCTGGCTGCGATTAAACATTGAGGAAAGAATTTGACCCCAGAAAACCTGAGGACAGAAATATTACCAATGAAAGAGTTTCTTTATCATTTATTTATTTAGTTTTAAATTTTCTCCCCTATGTACAGTTCCATAGACAATATTTACATATTTTTCCTTATATTAATTTGGGCTAAAGACCTTCTAGATACCTTGTCAGGCATTTTGCTTTGGGCCCCTAGTAAAGGTCTATAGTTAACTGTTAGATTTATAATATATTATTTTATTTTACAGTCAAATCAGAGAGAGAATTTTCAGAGTAATAGAGGAACAATAATATCCAAATAGAATAATATGCAAATAGAATGTTTTCATAAAAAGATGCTGCTTAATTTGTTTTTTGAAAATGTATTGTCTATTGAGAGTTTGTCTTTATTTTTTATTCTAGTGAGTTCCATACATCAACTCCATTATTAGAGAGAATATGTTTTACATAATTTGTTCTTTTATACTACTTGTGAAGTTTTGATGAGTTTCTTGTGCTATTTTGATGAATTTGATTGATAGTCACAAACATTTATCAAATACTTCAGGCAGGTTTTTAAGATTATTGAACAGCATTGTAGATACTGTTCCTTCTGTTCGTGTTTTGCTCTCAGTTGGCTATAGGGGTGGTACTGCCAATGAGAACAACTGAAACTCTCAATATCTCTCAATATTATCATTATATACCCTTTGGATTCGCCTACTTTTAGAAGTTTATCTTATATCTAATTTAATTACTAAAAGTATGTCATATAATTAAAGGTGAGATTGACATTGGTATCAGGTTACACTCTCGCACCTGGACGTCTTTCTTCTTTCCCGACGGCTTTGTTGTCTTGTTTTTAAAAATTATTCTTTTGTAATGTTGTTTTGTTTAAACAAACAGAGAGGTAAAAGCCCTGTTTTCGGCGTTTCGTTGTCGTGAATCCGAAAGGTGTCGAAGAAATCAGCATATTCACGGATTTCCCCCAATCAGATTCCATTGAAATCTTTACCAGTAGTTTGAAAATACACACAGATCAGCCAGAATACAAACATTTGGACTATCTTTTAATATAGCATGAGAAAATTAACAAATGTCCACACAAAATTATCGCTCACTCATTAGTAAAATATATGGCAGCCATGGCTTGGCCGCGCGCTCACCCCAATGTTTTGCACCCCCGGCAATATGGCGGAATAAACCTTGAAAGGGCCTATTGCCCAATCTCGGGGAAGGAACGCGAGGCTCTGGGATAATCCGTTGCCGTAATCCATGCAAACAATATTTAAAGTGTCTATACAGCCAACAGCAGGCTATTTAGTAAACCGTCACTTGTCACACCATGAATTTTCAAAACTTTTATGTAATCAGATGAAGCAAAAGTTCTGTCACTTGTTGTTTACACTTGCCAATGTTAACTGTTGAGTAACATACAAATTATTCGAGGAACATGCATTACTGTAGCAAAGAGTCAATAATATGTTGAAGACCACTGAATAGTAGAGAATGTTTTGAAGGTCATGAGTGAAGTATATATTAATTCAATTTCAATCCTGTGCAGTTAATGATATACCACACGTCACTGTTCACTTTAACACAACATACATGTACCCACACGAAAACAATTTTTGTTGTGGGAGAATATCGGTTTGAGTAAAGATATCACAAGTTTAGTTTTGTACATTGTGTGCCATTGATCTGATCCATCCATATATATAATAATCATTGTAGCTGTTAAGTTATTTTTCATACTAATGCAAGTGGGTTGTTCTGACAAAATTATCTAGCCAATATCCAGCTTATTCATCATTCTTGTATTAATCTCTAAACAAAAACATTTGTGTTAGAAAGCAAAATGACAATGTAATGAGGAGGGAGGGTGGGGATTCTTTTATTAGCATTTGAAAATGTTTGCAAAACTTTTGTTTAATTTTGAAATTCTAATAGTCTAATGTGTAAAACCAAAATGTATAAGTATTTTAACTGATAACATCTTAACCTTTGCTCTAACACTACATTAGACAACAGCTTAGTCAGATGGACTACAGTTTTGAACAGAGTTACAGAAATACAGGACCAGGGTTTAATTCAATATCTGAGAACATTAGTTTCCTGTGATATTGTTCATTGGCAATATTGCCTGCTATGTTTTGACACAATGATTGTTTTTAATACTGTATAGATGTAGATAATAAAATATGTGGTATTTGACTACTTACCAGATGAGGATAAGTTCCCATGTTGATAGATAACTTAGGAATAATATCGCAAGTAGAATCGTGAAAACAAGACAACCAATTCAAGATTAAAATCAAGATATTTTTGAAGCCAAAATGTGAAAATTATGGCAAAGAATATTCATGGATTCCGAGGCCAAACGATGCCCGTTCGCAGGTTAGATGCGGGCATGATGTAAACAATTGATGTAAACTAATCGCTGATTGGCTTAAATTATCATGAATTGGCTCAATAATACAAGCTCGTCGCTGAATGGCTATGGGTAACATTAAATAACGGCACGTTTGCGACAGCAATATATCTGCTTCGCAGATACAAAAATGAACGCGTGCTCCAGCCCGATTTCCAGTTCTGAAAGGCCCGATTCGCAAGCAAACAGTGCGCGCAAAGTAGGCTGGTCATTTCCCATTGTTTAAAAAGACTCACCAGATATTGCTTCGCAGCAACATCCGTAAGTCAAAAACGTACGTTGACTAAAAACAATATGGTGCATTCCGACTTCAGTGGATTTAATAAAATTGTGGTACATGTACTAACTTTGTACAATAGTGTCTACAAGGTTTGAACAATATGTTATTGTATATTTTAGGCAAAAGTGAAAACGTTATTAATCAATTGCAAGAACAGGGTTCGTAGTCTCCAAGATCAAAAAAATTCAAAGATTTTCAAACATTTTTTCTGCCTATTTTCAAAGACTTTTCAAAGACCTTTCAGAGCAATCACTCCCAATCAGCTGTCTAAAAATTGCAAGTGTAAGCACCATTTTTACCAGGTAATTAATCCCGTTAAATCACATCCTAAAATGCGCCTTTTCGTCGATATTTGCGAAAACCTTGTTCTTCAATCACCCTATTTTATTAGCTAGGAAATCGTATAATCAAACACTCACTAAAGAATTTAAAGACTTTTAAAGACTTTCTTCGCGTTTTCACACAATTTAAAGACTTTTCAAAGACCTTAAGGACCTGCATTCAAATTTAAAGACTTTCAAGGATTTCAAATACCGCTACAAACCCTGAAGAAAAGCATCATTGTATCAACAACTTAATCCCTTGCATGATGGAACGTGATAAACATGATAACTTGTTTTCGAGACAATTATTGAAAATTATCGCCGGAGGGTTCACAACAATGCAACCTACAATCTTCATTCTTGCTGATTCATAAATAGAAACATTTTGCGTAAACACTAACGTCAGGAATCTAGGCTTACGCAATAATTGCATTTACATAACTATCTATCTCTATTTATATTTCTAATTTAGTAATTATCTTTCAATTTTACATGGCAGTAACGTCAGGAATTTAGGTTAACTTTACTGGCATTTAAATAACTATATATAATTCTACATATATTTCTAATTTGGTAATCATATTTCTATTTTAGATGGCAGACCTATTTTATATCTATAAAGGCATGCAGCTAACTTGCAGTCGCACGAATTGTATATATAGAATTGAGTAAAATATTTAACTCCTAATTTTGCTGCAAAGCAATAAGCTCGTAAAATGGGTGGCCTAAAGTTGTTTCTGGCAAAAGATAAGTCCAGGACCTTGTCACATTTTTGATGATCAACTAAACAGTCAAAATCATAATAAAAATCAAGAGACATGTTAGAAAGACTATATGTTGGGTGGGATTCGTTAAATTTTAACTCTCGACTGAAGCTGGTTTTCTGTTGCTTACTAGTTTAATATGTACCATTGAAATAAACGCACGTCTGCCGAGACCAAATCGTGAGATATATTCATTACATCAACAGTATCTCTCCTGGCAAGACGTCTCCGTAAAATGTATCAATAACTAAGAAAAAAACTAATAGTAAAAATAGTACACCTATGAAAGTAAAAGTGTCAAAAATTAAAGCTCTCCCAAGAACAGTAAAAAAGCGCCAAGACACGTTTACATTCACACCAGACCTGTAATTATTGTTCATCGGCATCGCATTTCTTTAAAATTTCTTTATTAAAATGTACTAATTTAAATTTGGCATGCTCGTTTCAACCAGTGTATACCATAGATATCTTATATACACTAGATAGTGCATCTAATTATTCTGCAATTCAAAAATTGAAGCTGTGATTGTAGTCTCAGGTCGTTCCCATGAAATGAGAAGATTCGTATGTTTTCTATTTCTTAAACAGGGAACTTAAACATTAAGTTAAACCTATTCCAAATACGTTTTTGAACTATTCAAATGATGAAAGTTATTGTTGTTTTTAAGCGTTTATTAGCAAGTGGGAACGACCAATATGGCCGCCACCTATTCAAATGGGGGTAACCGCTGAAACATTCTTGGCTTCAATTTTACTAAAAGAGATGCGCTATCTAGTGTATATATCTATGGTGTATACAGATATTTTCGTCTGCATTAGAAAGTTGAATTTTATTTTAACATATCAAGTTATTCAAATCATAGATTACTCAAACCAAGTTATACAAACGATCAACAACTCGATCCCGTATTTGATAAGCTATTTTACTATAGTCTAGGGCTAGACATTGAAATTTATCAGAGGGAACGTATGGTTTGCTGCCTTGCAACAATGAAACTTACAATTTCGGTGGAACCAAATGTTTGGAATCTGGGCTTATTCCAATGACATTTACATAACTATAGTATATTTCTATTCTAGAAGCTAATCTTATCTTAAATACTGTGCAATTAAAAATAATATTACCACATGCTGCTCTAAAGTACACATTCAGAAACAAAAACATTTCTTAGCAAGTGCTTTGAAACTTGATATTGTATCAATAATTATCAATATTTTTACAAACATAAAAGCTCTATGCTGACGGGAGGGCTTAAAAACAAATGTACGCTTATTGAAATATGAATATATTCAGTATCGTCCTTTACGCTCTTGGGGGGGGGGGGGGGGTCGGGTCGAAAAAAGAGCACTCTGTATAGGCTTGTAAAAATGTTGAGAATTATGATTTATGGATGGCCAGCTCACCAGCCTAAATGTTAAATGTAAACCTTTTCAGGAAAAACCTAACCAATCAAGTTGATCACATGTAATCACCAACCTAATTTCCTATTTCATGCACTAGGTTTTATTTTTTGTGAAATGTTATACATTGCAGACATTACACGGCAAAAAACGCCGAGCTGCCCACGTTGTTCACACTTGTCTGTTATATTGAACAATATTGTTATATTGTTGACAACTGTGAACAATGTGGGCAGCAAAGCTCTGTTCAATCCTGTTTTCATCAACCTGAGCGTTTTTACAAGCCCGCTGCTTAACAGGCTTGAAGAATGTTTTGCTGCCCACGTTGTTCACACTTGTCAACAATATTGAACAATATTGTTATATTGTTGACAACTGTGAACAATGTGGGCAGCAAAGCTCTGTTCAATTCTGTTTTCATCAACCTGAGCGTTTTTTACGCGTGTAGGAGGCAGTTAGGCAAGGGGGTAAACTCCCCCCCCCCCCGTTAAATTTCTTAGCCTTTAAACAATTCTTGATTAACCGTGTAACAAAGCTGTAAAAATTATTTGCAAAGGTGAAAGCCATGATGATTGGCCATTATTTAAGCAAATTTTCATTAGAGCTGCACGGTTTTGTACAGGAAGAATGAAATTCAAGGCCATGTAGGCCCTACTAGGAAATTAAGGTGTTAGAAGTGAAGTTAAACTGTTCAAATTGCAACTTCAATAAATTTCAAACAGCTCTGTAAGATATGAACAAATCTATTTGTTAGACTTAAGACAACCAATTTAAAGACCAGATATGTCATTGATATTATTACATTGACATAACTTCATGGTGTGTCAAAAATTATGGCTTATTTTTCTCACACTCCTTGAATGAATGAATTGCTCAATATAATATCAGCTTACTTAATTAAGACATTTATTTCTTAAGGAATTCTTACTCAGTTCATATATTAAATAATTTCCTTGAGAGGAGTAGCAACTTTCAGGGGCAGCAATTTTTAGAGGGACATATAGCACTAAAATGCAAGCAGAACTTAATTACATGCACCTTGTGAATTTGCACAGGCACAAATTAAAACTCCAACAATATTTAGCAGTCAAAATCTAAAACACCATGAATTTTGCTCACAAGCACTAAAAATATTAGCAAGCCCAGAAGATGGATGCTATATTCGCAAGGACTATGCCATACACAAACCTAAGCTTTAAACGATCTGTGTCTTAGTACATATTCTTACTATCAAAAGTGGATTTTACATTCCCTGTCTGGGCGACCGACATATCCTTCGTAGGAGGAGCCTAGATATTATCTGAAATGACCCATTAAATAGCTTTAACAATGCTTCATTGTAAAAAGCATTCTTAAAGCTAATAAGTCATTTCAGATGATATCTAGAAGTTATCTGAAACGACTCATTAGCTTTAACAATTGCTTCATTGTAAAAAGCATTCTTAAAGTTAATGAGTCATTCAGATAATATCTGGCCTCCTCAAATTGAGCCAAAAAGTCTGAAGAAATTCTAGAATGCAGAAATACAGATTTGCAGTGCTCAAGAGAAAACTATAGGCACACAGCCAACATTTTGCAAAATATTGGCTGTGTGCTCATACATTTACTTCCTCCAAGTAATGAAACATTTTATTTAAAAGAAATATCAAAGTAAGGCACAACTAGACTATTCGCATGTCAATGTTACTAATTGCTGATCATTCATGAATCATGCTCAGCGCTCTCCCTTAACAAGCAAATCAATACAGTAGCATTAAACAAACTAGAAAAAATATATAGGCTGCATTACAACACCTTGCAGCTCAATGGTTTATAACCTCATTTTTATATATTATTATATATCAATCTATTTAGCTGCAAATGCATCGAAATGGACCCTAAGGGAAGGGTCTTGCACAGTAATTATGGGCTAATCTAATTCTAAATTTGTCTGGCTGGTACATGGTGGTGAAAATTGAAATACAGGCTATACTATAGGTTAAAAATTGTTTTAATTAGTACTTTGAAGATCATCTATTGTGTTAGTGTCTTGCACAATAATGGGTTAATCTAATTCTATTAGTCATCAAGTTGCATTGCACCCTATGCACCCCACTTTATCAACTCACTCTGTCTAATGCAAGATCATTTTACTTGTCAAGGGGAGAGTGCTGAGACTTAAAGAAAGGAACAATTTGTCTGGCTGGTACGTCCTTGGTGGGAGCAGGGTCTTAGCTAGAGGGCCGTGTTGGCCGTGTTATCGCGGCCAAAAGTGGAAAAACACGGCTAGATAAAATTAGCGCGGCTTTACTATTTTTATATAAGGCCATGTAGGTTCATAAAATAAGGTGGTGCTACTTACAACAGACATAATTTCTTCCTATTTACGTCGTAAGAAAGTTTGTAAAATCTACTGTTGTGGTTGAATTGCCAAAAGTGATCCGTGATGTTTTAATATTTTGATGGATAATGGGAACTGTATGGTGTTAAAATGGTTTTAAATACCCCCAAGAGTTGCTGAAATAACTAAATATTTTAATGGCAGTGCGCAATATGAGCGTATGATCGCCTTGTATTTGGTTGCAAAGCATAGAACAACCACAGACATAGTTGTTGTTGGCGAGCATAACTAGAAACGTGATTTTGCTATTCAAGGTAATTGACATGTGCACGCCCTGGTCATTAGAAACACGCCCAAGATCTAAAATCCTAGCTAAGACCCTGGGTGGGAGGTGCCACAATACCATCCAAGGTGGGTGTTATAATTTATGGAATTCAATAGCTGTCATTCTTGTATTTGACCTACTCAGGCAGTTCAGACACAATAATGCTTTACACAATAATGTTTTACTGTCTAGTCTACCTGTCTAGCTTGTGTGTCAGCAGTTTATATATAGTTATTCTCAAAAAAGCCAAACTGACCCAGATTGACACACATTTCTTCTAAGCATGCCTGTCAAATTTTGGGATCCTAGGTAGCGGCGCTACCTGCAAGTGCGGAAGTGCCTGGAGCTAACTGCAATCCTTGGCCAGAAGGTCTTATGCTTTCTTATGTAAAGTTTAAGTAAAGTAGAAAATTTCAATTTTTCCGAATACATTTTGCTGTCGTACTCAAGACGTAAATTCATCAAACAATGCCATCATCAAAACTTCCTATTCTGTGACCAAATTTTATTCATCAGCCGACAATCTTGTTGGCTTGATATATGGAAATGTTCGAGCAATTGGATTTGAGCAAATTTGCGGACACTCAATTTTGACAATATGAAACATAACTCAAAACAATTTCTTCGGTGCCAGGTCCCCTCTCGCAATTTGCAAGCTTCAAGTGAAGCTGGGCAAGTTTCCACCAAGCAGGGCTAACTGCAATTTTTTTTTGGCTACCTAAATATACAGGCATGCTTAGAACTAAGATTAATCAGATTATGGTTACTAAGTAATTTCAGCAGCCAAATCAAGGGAATGAGTATCAACAATAAATTTATATTTGAAAACAACATGCGCTGAGCTAAAACAATTGAAAATAGATGATCATCGACCAATTACAACACACAATGTTAAATATTAACTTTAAAAAATTGCACAATATTTGATTTCACAACAATATATTTGTACAACTGTAGTATCAAACCTCTTGGGCTGGTTAATATTAGACCATCTCGCGTCATACGAAGCAGGCAATTTTAAAACGGAATTCCGATCATACATCAGACCGTATAATTTGGATTTTCAAATATAAAATGAATATGCAGGCTGTAGGAATAGAAAATCGCACGTGTGTGCTTGTCATATAAAACGAGATTACGAAATACCGGTATGGCACTGAAGTATTAACGGTATTTTTTATATGTTTATTTTGATACTTACTTCCTGAGGAAACCATAGCCACGACGATCGAGGTCGTTGTTGATGAACTTTGAAATACAACCGTCACAAGAATGCCAATAACCAGAGCAGCCAAAGGATTGACAAGCAAACTATCCGACGAGAAAACTTCACCGGCGGTTTTGCCACCCAGCAAACGAAACGCTGAACTGAGGAAAGTTAGCGAGCAAATAAATAGATAGATTAAGCCAGTCAGCAAGGCAAATTTCACAACTCCAATGGTGACACGCTTCACTTTCCCGCGAGTTGATAACTCTGAAAATAGTATTTATACAAAAAATGCGCCATTTTTAATAAAACTATAAACATTTGTACAAATCTATCTAAATTGTACTGCACAGCTGACAGCTTCGATTCATTACTGTGGAAAAATTTAAATTAACAATAATAATGATATTTTCCAATACCTCTCCATGGAATCGTTGTATGAGTAAACTCTGGCAGTTCCCATGGGTCAGCTGCCTTTTCATTGATAACATGATCGCCATCATCAGCTGGAGCACACACTGCCGCTAACTCCTCATCCTTGATAAGAATATAAACAAACGTATAACAAATTGATAACTTCTGCTTCTTTGAACCAGGTAAATATAATAATCTATAGCCACACAAACCTTGTCAGGCATGCAGTCGACAGCAGCCATGAATTTCTCGAGTAAATTTTCTGAACAAAGTCCAACTCAGCTTCTATCTCAACATGTGAATGAAGCTAGCGGCGTATATTCGCCGGTATTCTAGCAACTCGCGATTATAAATTCGCAATCTGATTGGGCGACAAATCGTACACGTGGGCAGTGGCATACTGCTTCGGGCAAGACATGTGAAGTCCACGTGCACAGCATGCAAAGCAGACATGCCAGACGTGAAGAGATCATTCAGATCATACGATTCAGCGTCACTAGAAGAAGACAAAACCCAATCAGAAGTCAAGCTGGGTTGGCGTAAGTAAATTAAGAAATACTCATATTTATATGCCCATATATAAATATGCTACAGAGCAACTGTCTGTTTGTTCATAGTTAATATGGTTTACTATGGTTTGTTCAAATATTCACAGCGAGTATTTTCATTCTCCAAAATGAGTAAATGACCAAAAGGGCAAGCCGAATGCCAAGGATATACACAGTCACAGGGAAGCATAGCCATAGCCATAGCCGGGAGGCAAGACGACTCGCATATCGTAATTATACAACGCATTGTACTGTAATTGTCTCCATTGTAAGGAGTAAAACGAACGAAAACGATTACCCAGGTTCTGAGGTCGCGCTTGCACGAAATTGCATCCAGGGCCGTCCTCAGGAAATTCTTCAGGGGGGGTGTAATTCAATTCAACCGACTGGTTCAAAAAATTTTTCCGGAACAAAATTTTTTCGGCGACATCCCCCCCCCGTCGCCAAAAAAATTTCGGTCAGTGTACCATTTTAGGGGTCCAAAAAAATTTTTCCGGACGTACAAAATTTTTCCGGAACATTCAAAAATTTTTCGCACATAGCAAATTTTCAACATTTTTTAACATTTTTTCCAAAATTTTTACATTTTTCCTCAAAATTTTCCTAAAATTACCACCACGTTCTTGCCCTTTGCGCCAAAAATATTTAACCCAAGTAGCAGTTCTACCGACTGAATAGCAGTCCTACCGACTGAATAGCAGTCCTGCCGACTAAATACAATTACTGGGGGGGTGTCACACACCCCCACACCCCCCCGTAGCTCCGGGCCTGATTGCATCTCCTGATCTTGGCACGAAAAATTACATGACAGTACTAATTCATAACTCAAAAATATTTCAATTTCCTCACAAGTCATAACTGTTTCGACTACGCATGTATACAAAAAAAGCCATCGACAAGAAGTTCTACTCATCGCAAAACCAGCAAGCTTGCTGCGAGTGCTTGCACTATAAATTGAAATAAACTGTCAAGCATTGTAGCTGGATGAAAGCACTCGCAGCGAGTCGACTCGCTCGAGCTACAATCCTGGACAAAACCATCTGCGACAGTAAAACATTGCTTTATGGCTTTTTTTACCAGTTAGAGCGGAATAATTTACTCGTTTGCCCCCTCCACCCCCCAAAACAATGTTGGACGTTTTATTCGTATTCTACGAATGCAATCAAGATTGAATGGTGGGGGAAAGGGGGAGGTTTTCTAAATTTGCGATAATATTGTCAAGTAATTGGAAGTGTCGCAGATGTTTTGTCCGGGATTGTCTGTATCTTTCAAATTCAAGAAGCAAATTAAATACCATATGGTCGACAAGGTAATATAACTGACCCTCGTGCAATGCTATGCTTCGATAGCTTGTCAATGTACTTAGTAGTGTATATACCAACTATTTTACAGTAAGAATATTCTAAAATACGTTAATCCATATTTATTTGTGTTCAGGGCCGTAGCGAAGGGGGTATTGGGGGGGAGGGTTAACCCCCCCCCAACTTTTTTAGAATTAACATATTCGGAAAATCGGGTTGGTCATTCGGAAAATTACGGCAGTAATAGTATAACAAAATTTTAGTTGTTTAAACAGAGAAAATATTATAAAATATATTGTATTGTCAGTATCATAAACTGATTTACAAAATCACGGCATTTACATGGTAACATTTAACAAATCGTAGACTCGGTAAAATGTTTTTTGGTTTATTACTTCCCAGGACCGTAGCAACGGGGGGGGGGGAGGGGGCAGCCCTCAATATATCTTTAAAATACTGACAATTGATTAATTTGAAGCGGCTACATTATACCCATGACAAACCGCAAAAAATCATATTACCCATATACGCTTTCGCCCATTTAGTTCTTCTAAATTGTAAGCAAATTAATTGTAAATTTTGACGTGCTAAAACTCTGTTTTCTGACCATCAGAATTCTGTCAAAACTTCCCCCAAAGTCCACGAAGTGGCATTTCAGAGACTCTAAATTTAAAAATTTCCTCGGGCCTTCGGCCCTCGCCACCCCCTTATCAAAAAGAACTTCCTACCGAACTGCACGCTTCTGTAATATGCCTGTGCGTAAAATACGAGTATAAAATACGAGTATTTTTGTTTGTAAATTGCGTTTTCATTTTCCGGATAGAAAACACCTTCGTGGCTTCGTATGCCATGAAATATTCGGAAATTTTTTTCGTCATTCGGATATTTTTGGCCTACACCCCCCCTCCCCCAACTATGCATGCTTAGCTACGGCCCTGTTTGTGTTGTTAGACAGACAAACGCTTAGCTGTTGACTGAAAATATATTGCGTGACCGCCGCGCTAAATGACTAATCCGATTTTGTTATTGTCGTATAATTAATAGCGCATGCGCATTGACGGTGTACCACGGTACAGCGTGAGCCGTGAACATATAAGAATATATATATATATATATATATATATATATATATATATATATATATATATATATATATATATATATATATATATATATATATATATAGTCTATATAACCTTTTGTAGGGTTAAAATGGTACACCGTGGAATATTTTAAAATTATCGCGCTAAATATTGCCTGAAGTAGGTTAGAATACTAAGCAACACACGTTCTTTCAAGTCCATTTCATTGGTTTGTATTACACCTATAACTGGGGATATTATCACAGTCTTAGTGCATTGGTGGTGGTACACCGTTATGTATGACACTGAGAAAAATTACACATTGATTTACCACACCTGGAAAACGTGTGTCAAAATGCATAATTCACATTCATATAGTTGTCACTTGATATTTTAAATATATGCAGTAAATACCAGAAACGTAACTATATGTTAAATTTATTGTCCCTTAGTTTTAGTGGATATCACATACATTTATGTATAGACTGAATGTATAACCTATCAATATATAAGTCGCACAAACCCATACGCTTCGGTATGGGCCTCTCCCTAGGGAACACTGTCCTCGGCTTCGGTACTGGTCTCCATGGACTTACACCCTCTGGTATGTCAGGTGCCTTCCTAGTGGGCCTCGGGGGTTTCTCTCTGTTTAGGTTCACCTCTATGTTGTACCTACCCGGCCCCACCTTTGTTACCACACTGTATGCGAGTATTGTGGGTCTCACCAGTTTCTGCGCTTTGAACTTATCCGCTACACTTGGTCTCTTGGGTTCAGCTGTCTTTTGTCTTAATAGCCTTTCAGCTACAGTCTCTCTCTTGGGTTCGGAGATCGTCTTCTTTGGTTCAACTGTCTTCGGTGGCCTACCCCTCTTCTTAGGTATCTTGGGTTCTTCCTCAACCTTGGCCTTTGGAGGTCTGCCTCTCTTCTTTGGTATCTTGGGTTCTCCGTCTACCTTAGCCTTTGGTGGTCTGCCTCTCTTCTTCGGTATCTTAGGTTCTCCCTCTACCTTGGCCTTAGGAGGTCTGCCTCTCTTCTTCGGTACCACTGGGTCCCGCTCCGACTTTATCTTTTCTACTTCCCTCTGGATGATCCCTGAGTCGGTCTTCGCTGTACCACCTGAGAACTCCGGCACTCCTAGTGTTCCTCTCAGTCTGTCATAGGCTAGGGCTATCAACTCGGCCACTTCCCTTTGACGCTCTGAGTATTTCCATTGTGGTGCGGTTCCCTTTTTCCTTTTCGGTGCACTACTCACGAACTTTCGCGAGGTCTTATCACTATGGGATCCTCATCTATCCTAGACCTTATCGGGTGAGGGATCTCTATGAAGTCCTGCACTTCTCTCTCGAACTCAGCGCTGTCCTCCGGTATATTTCCTCCGACGTGACTACCAAGTGCTATTAACTCTTCCATGCTAATCTCTGATTTTGTTGAATTCATTTTTCGTACTCTCTCCTATACTATATGTACCGAAAAAAATTGGGGGTATTTTCTGGTTAATTAATTTTGATTTTCTTTATATTTAATTATATTTAAGTATTTAATTATTTATGATTTAATTATATTTAATTATATTTAATTATATTTATATTTAATTATATTGTTCAGGCAGTGATGCCTCGTGAGTGCCCAAGGTTATTCATGCTTCTGTTATGTTACCACCTGTGCGCTCCATCCATCTGTTGTAGTACCTACACCCTTCGGGCTTCCATCCAAGCTCAACAAAAACTTTCCCATACAGACGGTCCTCTAGAGCGTTAACTATCTTTGCTGTCCTGATGTCCTCAGGAGGGTTTCTAAATTCGATTCTATTCATACTTGCTAGCCTAAGCAGGTAGACCTTGTATCTTACTATGTTGCGGCCTCTCTGCAATCGAAGTCTCTGTATACATCTAACTACCTTCTGGAACTGATTCCGTAGTATGGCTCTGTCTGGGTTATCTACATGTTCCAGTAGTTGTCTTCCAAACCAACGTACCCTATTATGTGAAGTCTTCTTCTTAAGCTAGTCGTCCTTATTATAGTTTTAGCTGACATAGTGCGAGAAGTCGTTCATCTCACAGACTCCACATTCTGTACATGTGTCGGCCCCATCTAGATCTATTATAATGATGGATTTACTTCCACACTCACTACATATAGGATCGTATGGGTTTCTCCTCTTTATTCTCCCCTGTACGTACTTCCTTACTGCTGTCTCTAGTTCTTTCATTGTATTTGTCTTCCTGCCTACCTTTTGTATTTCCTCCGGTGTTACCTCGCATAACCACTCCATTCCCCTATACTAATAGAGCTGTAAAAAATACTGTTAATTTATCATAGCATTAAGTAGGTTGCCCCTCCCACCGCTCCCCCTACAAGTAAACCAAAGAGTGCCATGTATTTTTCCATTTCGGGGCTAGGTTTGTAGTGGTTGCTTAGTTGCGGTTTCCTTGGTAGGTCTTACGTGTTAGCTCACCGATTTTCCTAACTAGCTCCAGTGATTGGTTCGTTGACTTGATATCACTATTTGCTTCAGCTAGTTCTTCCCTTAGTTGGGCTATCTTGTTTCTCCTATCGGTTACCTCTTCAAGGTACTTCTCTCTTTTCAGCTGTGAGGGTCTCCATAGCCATGTTATGTCTTTTGGCTTCCTCAGCGTATCCGTTCTTGTCAAACATCTTAAATAGGTATCCTGCTCCTGCAAAAGCAAATGCATTGAAGAGTCCTCCTGCAACTGCCCCAGCCATTGTATAATTCTACCTAGGTTTTGAATGGATCATCTGGTAGATGCTTCTTTTCTTTCAGGTAAGAGACCAGTAGGTATGATAGACTAACTGACACCGCTAACTTCAACATTCCTTTCACATTCTCTGGGGTACCTAAGGGTTCTTTCAATATTTTCTTTGATGCCATTGATATACCAACTGCTCCTGCTGTAAGTAACACTGCGTCGTACACTTCCTTGCTCATCTTTGATTCTGTACTCATCTTGTTATAATATATAGTATGTTTAATGTGTCACCAAGGGTGTCCATAGTGGATCTGTCAGGCTGCTTTTCTATTGTTACAGTTGGTGGTGTATACTTAAGTTCAAGTGCTTTCTCTTCCCTTTGGTTCATCCTGAATGTTATGACTAGGGTGATGAATGCAATAGCTATCCCTACGTATGTGATCATGCTGCTACCACTAGACGACTCATCAGATTCCGCCTGTTTCTTTTTCCTCTCCTTGGCTATCTTACTGATTGCCGCTAATCGCTTCCCTGCAGCTACTCTCCTAGGGTCCTTCTTCTTTTCACTTGTTACTGGTACTTGAGTTTGCTCAGTTTTATCTGCCATTCTACTTGTAAGATACCTTAGGTTTTACTGGGTTTCATCTTACGAGATATCTTGAATTCTACTGGTGAGATAATTAAATTTTGCTTGCAAGATAACTCAAATCTACTGGTGAGATAACTGGGATCTACTTGTAAGATAACCGGTGAGATAACTTGAATTTGCTTGTGAGATGTCTCAAATCTACTGGTGAGATAACTTGAATCTGCTTGCAAGATAACTTGAGTTTGCTCACAAGATGCTGGCCGGTCTGAGTGGATTGCTTAAAAAATGCCCGACATATGCTGCCGAGCATCTTTTAATTTTGTCTTTACACTATTTTGGTAACTGCTTAGTATTTGTAACCTGTTAACTTAGGTCGGTAGCATGCTGTTGCTTCGCTTAGTTTCTGCTTAAGTATGTTACATTGCTTTTTCAGGTTTGTGGTTTCTTTCTTATGCTTCACTGTTAGATCTACTCTGAAGTACTCATGTATCTTAAGTACAAGGTTTGTGTAGTCATTGTAGAACGTTGTTTTGTAACCTAGTTGAGTTAGCCTTCTAAGCCGGCCCACTTGGTTTTCCCTAATCTCACCGGTGCCCTTAGGGGTCTTCAGTTCTATTGCAAATCCTGTGTAACCATTCATGGGATTTGCAATTAGTATATCAGGCTGTCCACCCAGGTAGCCCTTACGAAAGGCGTCACTTCTACGTTGAACAGTATCCTGATATTCACCTAGGCCCGCTATGACCCGAGCGTCTGGGTGATACTTACGAATGTACCTAATGATTGCATAATGGAGGTCAGTCTCGTTGTGTAGCTTCAACTGTTTACCATCGAGGAGCTTAGGTTCTGGTAACTCATATGAACCCGTTTTGCGGATTGATGGAAGTACTTCTTCAAACACCCACTGTTGAAAGGCCTTTGCCGAGGGAAGGTTTGATTTAAATATTAGTTGGTACACCCCCGGTTCCCTTAGGAAAATAGTGTTTGGTTTGAAGTTCCACTGACGCAATGAATCAGTGCGGGTCGTGGGCCTGTCGAGTATTGCCTTATTTTCGTTCCAGACATGGTCCCTGATAGCGTTTCTTGGTTGTTTGTATCCGAGTGATTTTGCCACATCTTTTGTACATAAGAATATCTCTTCCCTGTTCTTCACAGTTCTTACGCTTACATTCAATCCTTGTTTTCAAATATTTGTTCCATCTCTCTATACTATATGTACCGAAAAATTTTGTGTTCTTTTTCTCACATTTCCAGGCGAATTTTGTAAATGTTTGTGACAGTCCTGATGGTATCGTTCTTGAAAGCCTCAAAGTCGTATTTAATACTCTCAATCATGCTTTCAAGTTTATCAAGCCTCTCCTGGTTCCTATCAGTCTTCTCGATCAGTTCGTCAATTATGTCTTCAAATTCTGTTCCTTCCCACGGGTTGCCCCATTCGAATGGTTCTCCGAGTTGTGGCATTCTGTATGTAATAGGATGTGTTTAGTTTCGGTGGTCACCTCAGGTGGGGTCTCCTCTTTCTTCCACTTATATGCGACCACATGCTTGGCTGTTGTGCAGCCCCCTGATATGAGTCCTATGAATGGAATGTTGGGGGATATCGATCGGGTAAGGTATGCTACGTCGTCCTTCAAACGCTTGTCGTTGAGCTGTTCCTCTGACAGTTTCTCTGATGATTCCACAGCATTGAGGCTTCCTAGTACTGACGCAAACTTTGAGATAATAAGTGTTGATAGAAAGTCACCAGCATATGACATTCTCTGTTCATCATAGTCACTGTACAGTTTTTCTACAATACCTTTCTAGGCCTTCCTTATTAAGCTTGCGGATTTCTCTACTGTGCCATCCTTAGATAGCTCAATAAGTTTCTCCCTTTTCTTTTCAGTTTGCGACTTACTTGCGGTGGGCTTCTTCTTTGGTGGAGGTTTTGCGGCTCTTCTACTTCTCTAAGTGCAGCTTCAAATAATTCGTTCTCCGATTCTGTGTCACTTATTGCGGTGCCCATCTATATGTTACGGGTTGTTAACTGGAGAGTGTAAGTGTAAGGGTGGATAAGTAGTCTATCCAGTGCGGTGAACTTTTCATCTCTTAGTATCTTTGTGATTTCTGCGATTGTCTCCTGTGGTACACCATTTAGGTAGTCGTCTGTTATGACCTCCATGTCCTTGCGACTAGGGTTGTAGAATGTGACTAGCCTGGAAATGTTCTTCCGGAATGGCTTTGCCACTGAGGACAATTGTTGTGTAAGTACAATGACAGATAGGTTGTAATGTCTTGCGGAGAATGCTAAGCGAACCAGTTCGGAGACTCTTTTCTTTACAGCTTGACTTGCAGCACAATCGTCCACTATGATGAGGTATTGGTTCCGCGGAAAATGATGGATACCGCCTTGAGAAAATGATTGATCATCTCCTGGGAACAGGGAATTTGAATAACCCCATGATCACTTAGGTGTGTCCAGTTGAGATACGTTGTGTTCCAGTTGATTGTTGGGCATACAATGACAATGTAGTCGAATACTCTGTTGTACTCTGTTTGTAGCATGTCAACTAGAAACTGGGTTTTCCCACTCCCTGTCATTCCGACTATCATCATGTTGAAAGGCGGTTGAGGTGGCATCTCTACGTGTTACCATTAGTATTGAATACTTGAGAGATCTCTGTTGGCAAAGTTAAGGAGAGCATCTGAGACAATGAAAATGTTACACTGAACGTCAGCAGTTGTTGCTTTCTTTGTTATTTCCAGTAGCACTCTTCTCTGGGTGTTCACGATCTTCTTACCTCCTCCAGTGGTATCATCCTGTGTTGACCTGAGATCTGTCACTAGTGCGAACCCGTCTTTGTAGAACTTGTCAATGGTCATGTTCTCGTCAGCCATTATTTTCTCCCACATAGGGCAGAAGAACCTTTTTGCCTCTTCGAAGAACCTGCTTTTGGGTAAGCCTTGGGAGAACACGGAGTTTGGCACACCTTCGACGTTTAACCTGACTTTCTCAAGGTTGGAGTACAGGTACTGCTCAGAATCAGTTCTCACTTTGTTTGTGAATAAGAGGACAGTTGCTGACATGCTTTTCCTTGGGATGTTAATGTTTTCGTTAACAATGGTAAGATCCTTGTCCCAGTTACTTGTTCGCATAAGTGTGACGTGTTTGTAGGACAGTGATCTTCCCGTGGAATACATCCTTGATACCTCACTTGCAAGGACGTCATTCTCGATGGTCGCATACTCTAACTCAAGGTTTTCCAGTTTGTATCCTTCAACCTTCTGTCCTCCTTGTGCGGTCATAATCTCATCTGCTTCTGGGAGAGTTAGGATGTGCAGAGGATTGTTATTCATGGTAAATGGAGTGTAAAGTCCGTGGTCACCTATGATCTTATCAATCGGTTTCTTCAGCTTAGTGCCGTAGATTGACTGGACTAGAGCGTCTGCAACTTTACTGTCATCACCTACCTTTTTACCTGAATCATCCCCTGAGAATAACTTGCGAAGGTTTTCGTTTGCTACACCCTGTTCAATCATCTTCTTCCTGTCTCCTAGTGTGAGACAAAGGTTTTTGTACACCTCGAATAGACTCTTTCCTGAACAGTCATAGTCTGTCTCACCGGCTACCTTTATTTGTAACCGTTTGGCTAGAAGCTTTGATGGGTTGTTATTGAAGCAGCTTTTAGTGTTAGAGTTTTTGAAGTCAAAGAGGAGGGCAAGTGATCCTGGGACTAAACAGGAGGAAGGTTTGAGTTTCGGTATATTGGTATATAACTCTTCCCCAGGACTGCTCGTTGTTGGGTTAAATGTGACGACACTTCTGGTGCGCGGGCCTCTGATGGTAGTCATGCGGCTCCTCCTGAAGCCAGGTTGAAGTTCCATTTCTGTGATATTCATGTTTGTATATATTATGTAATGTTTAGCTGTAAGCATAGAGTAGCCCCACTATCATACATGCAGCGACTATCCATATATTATTCGCAGCTAACTCTACTCCATCTGCTATCTTCTGGAATACAAATGGTAGTCTTATTTGGCCTCCTTCCATCTTACTGATCCGTTTATCGAGCTTTCCTGTTGAATCACTAACTTTTCACAATATGTTCCTAGTTGCAGCTATCAGTCCTACAATTACGGTGGTTGTGTAAATTAGTACAGCTGATAAAATGCTTGCGTTTTCCCTTGTCCATATCTTGAACAATTCTAGTTTCCTGTTGTCATCACGTTTGATGAGCTTTCTCCTTTTCACCTTATCTCTCGGATTTAATAGTTTATTCAGACTGGACTCTCTTTGGTAATCACCTGATAGCATTCTGATGTACCTCAGTTCTTCTGACTTTTCTTTAAAACTGTCTTCGTCTAGGTTTGATAGTATCATTTCGTTCAACAGCTTGTCTCCCCTATCCAGTAGCTCATGGTATGATAGTTCGAATAAGTCAGGGAATCTTTCTGCTAGTTGCTGTCGTGTAAGGTCCTGCTGTTGTTCGCTTTCATGCTCCTCCAATAGCCTTCTCCTTCTTAGTTCATTTACGTATGCAATCTCCTTTTGAATATCTACCATTTCCTCATTGGTTTCACTTTCCCTGAGATCCTTATCAAGGTACAATAATTCGCTATCTAAAATTTCTATATCCATGTCATCGTAATTTGGATACCTTTCTTTCAGCTCCTCCATTCTCTGATCATCGTATTCCCCAGGATCCGCCTCCCTAGCTAACCTACCTCGTGTAATAGTTGTAGACCATCAAGGCTGCTGCTATATCTAATACCCATAAATTTGATGCTAGCCATGCAATTCCCTTTGCACCCCACGACAGTGCTGATGCGATTGCGTTGAGAACTGGTACAAGAATGGGACCTGCCTTCTTAGCTACAGGTTAGCTAATGCTTTGGCTACTTTGCTTGTTGCCTTTGCTGTTCCTACGATTGCTCCCCTGACTTGAAATTGATGAATCTTTAAATTGGCAAGTTCATATTGAAACCATTTGTAAGAAGATAAGTGCAAGTCTGGGGGCGTTAAAGCGGATTCGAACTTTTGTACCCCAAAACACATTGATCCTGATGTATAAAGCCTTAGTGTTACCTTACTCAGACTATTGTAGTGAGGTTTGGGGCTGCCTAGGTAAAACCCTCTCTGAAAAACTCCAAAAACTGCAAAACAGAGCCGGTAGGATAATAACCTTCTCC